CGAGCAGTGAGAAGTTATGAAAAACTACAGATACATTAAAAAGCTATAAAAAAAAAGAGTCAACACATAACAAAAAAAATCAATAATTTCAAAAGTGCAAAAAAGGTACAAAAAAAAAAAAAAAAGTAAAAATATTAATATTATACTTTAAAAATGAAAATCCTTTCATCCTTTACTCACCCTCATTTCATTCACATAAGACTTTTTTGCCCTTCATTTTGGGGTGCACTAAGAACACAGTGCACCCATTTGAAATAAACAAGTTAAAATGATTTGAGCCACTAGTGTAAAAATTACTGTTTTCAAACAAGTTTCCTCTCTCATCTGCAACTGGTCAGACAAACAGGCAGCCCCGCCCGCAAACTCACACTATTGGTTGTCATTGTTGCTGTGCTGAGCTGGCCAGGCAAACATTACATTTATTCAGGGGAATCAACCTACAAATGGCTTACATATTGTAGACACAGTAAACTGGATTAGAAGAAAGCGATTTAAACATGCAAAAAAAATAAAAAATCACATTCAACCAGAAAAGTGCTGAAAAAAATAATTATTGCCTGCATGAACTTATGTTAAACTTCTATACCAAGATAAACTACCGTGTGCTCCAAACTGACAAGGTCTCCAGATAATACTAATCCCGTGCGAATAGGGCTATAGAGACCTATTACATAAGTCAGTACAAAGAGGGGGAATGTCCTGAAAACCACAATTCTGGTTCACAAAGTGGGTTTAGTCAATAAAACTGTGCAGAGACTAATGGTGTAGGTAGCTTCGTGATCGTCAAAGGCTGCATGGAGAAAAAACGCGATGAGGGTCAGCTGTGTTTTAGGGGCCTGAAAATGCAAACTTTTGAAAACAAGTTTCAAAGTGCAAGTTTTTGAAAACAACACCATTACCATCTCTGTGTAAACACCAAAACTTGTGAAAACTGACATCATGCGCATGCACATTACATGTTCAGTCTATAGGTAAGTGCACAGGCGTGTAGTGTTCCTTTACATCGCCAACTACTGGCCTGGCATGCATAATACAGCATTTTTAGTTGTTTTTGCGAATCAGTGTGAATGGGGATTTTGACAACATTTTCATGTGTATGCGAAGGAAAAACTTTTCCATTTTTTGTACATCATTTTCGTGTAAACTTTTTTTCCAATTTTTAAAAAAAATAAATAAATAAATGAAAAATAAAGTGGCATTCAGTGGCTGGATATTTCTAAAAGTCATCCATGGCAGTACTGTAGTAGGATAACTGAAACTGGCTGTCTCTCTGTCAACTTATGGACAAGCTCTTATTTCAAACAATCACAGTTGGTGCCATCTTGTGTCTCATTTATCAACTGCAGTGAAAATGACCTCAGAGTACTTGTAGTTGCATTGAAAACAAAGTTAAATGAAACATTTCAAACAGGCGAAATGTTTAAGATTTTGGCATGTAACATGCATTACCTGGTTAAAATCAATCCCTGCAGGTTGATGGTGTAAACACATCAGTCTGAGGCAAAAAAGGTCTGTTTCTGATTCTGGTATTATAAATTAATTTGCTTTTTGATAGTTTTTTGAGGGCTTAAAAAAAAAGGGACAAAGTTGCTAGTGAAGGGCTTTGGGGACCGTGCACGTTCATCAGCTAGAATCGCACTAACCAGCATAAGCCAGACCTGTGCAGAACATGTGTTGAGTGCTGAGCCTAAGGCTGCTCATTTAGACCTGGAGTGAACCAGAGATTTAATCTATTTACAGGCTCAGAGGTTACAGAGGTTACTCTGACATGTAGCCTGTGCACAAGGGATCAAACATGTACATAAACAAAGATTTTCTTCTAGTGTTCCTGTTAGGACGCATGCTACGTTGTCACGTCGTCGTCTACAAAATTTTGCTACGGGGTTGACGCTGACTCGAGGTCCCTATGGGCCGTGACACAAAACAACAATCCATACTGTGCACTAATAAGTGTTCTGAAGCCAGTTGATAGCTTTGTGTAAGAAAGACTGAAAATCAAGTTTTATATGAGACTTTTTTTTTATTCAGGTTGCAAAGTGACTTTAAGTCTTGTTTTCTGAAAATTGTTCAGAATTAATCATTCAAAATGAATTGATGCTTTAAAAAAAATCTGTTTAAACTCAACTTAATTCAAAGGGAATACAGGTTTATTTTTCTTACCCCACTTTGCAGATATTTTTTTATTGTTTTAAGCATAAACTCACTTCATTTTGATATGTCGGTCCTTTGCTGGTCCTTTGCTGGTTTAAACTGGTCCTTTGCTGGTCCTTTTGCTGTTTTATGCTGGTCATTTGCATATAATAGATAAAAACGCTGAACACTATAACACCTCTAAACAAATAACTTAAAGTGACAATAGAAACATCTAGATAGAAGATAAACATTTGATGACAAACAATGATGTTGGCTTGACAAAGTCCGACCTGAAAGTATAAAATAGTCTAAAAGCTTGAGGTTTGGAGGTTATATCGTCAGATAGACAGAAAGCTCAGTCCACATTAAACATAAACCTTTTCAGACCCAATTAGACCTCATAAGATCACCAAAAAAAAAAAAAACACACACCATGTTTCTATGCATTGCAAGCATGTTTCTAATAGTCAGTATTTCGTAACAATGTTGTTAAGCATTGGAAGCATATTTTACTTGTTGTTAGCATGATTTAGCATGTTTACTAGATGTTACCAGCATACTGTATTTGAGCATGTTTTTAGCATGTTCAAAACATGTTCCTGTTTTAGTACTAGCACTTTTTAGTTTGTCAGCACACTGCACTCATGTTCCTGATGGTTTTTTAGCATGTTGCTAGTTTGTTTTAACAAAATTATAGCATTGTTTTAGCATGTTGCTACCATGTTTTAACATGTTGTTAGCATGTCGCTAACATAGCATGACATCAAACATCTACACACTATATATAAAAGCAAATGTATTGTTTATATTGCCATATGCAAACTATCTTATCGCCCAGCTCTAAACAGCTAAATGTGGACAGGCATTAGGTATTATAAACATTTTCATGATACATTTCTGTTAAGCTGCTTTAAAATAATGTGTGTGCGCTATACAAATAAAATTAACGTGACTTGACTATACTGTAAAGATGCCAGTATGGTCACATCCAGGAAAATTCTGTGAATGCAAACATTACCTTGTGTACCTTGTGTAAATAGCAAGCAGTACTGTTAGCAGATGCAATATTATATTTGATATTTGCAATATGAAGCTGTCATTTTTCTGACGTAATGGTAGGTTTATATTATACCAGTGCAAACAATTCTGAAAGAATTGAGCAATTATTCATTCTGACGGTCGACTGAAACCACTCCTTCTGCCACACGTCCACATCCTGCTGTTCAGGATCTGCTGTATGTTTGTGCTGGGAGCTCAGCTGTGCTTTAGACCTGTGTGCTTTCTTTTTATATCATAGCAACACTAAAATGATCTTCTCTCTTATTCTTCTACTTATTTGTGTCGCAGCATCACAAGGTAAGACAAAATGCTTGTAATTTTCAAAATTGTGACTTGAAAGCAAATTGTTTATTTTTACATTTAAAACAATTAAAAATAAAATGTAAGTAGCGTTTAATAGACAAATGCAATGTTTTGATATGTAAATGTACGGTTTGTGCAATATTCAAATGTACGTCTTGCAGAAAATCCTGCATTTATTTATTATCATTTCAAAAATCAATTTACCTTTCAAGTCAACTAAAGAATACACTGTTCACTCAAAAAAATATTATGGCATGGCCCTTTTTTTTTTTTTTTTTTTTTTGCTTTATTTAAATCATATTTTCAATATGTATTTATTAAAAATGTTTAGAGTCAGAATAAATCTTTTTTTATTATATATAGCATTTTATCAGTAAACAAGTATAAACATGGCTTAAATATGGCTAGCTGTGGAACAAGTAGGACTGGCTTATAAATAATAAATTAAATATATTATAAATATATAAACCTTGGTTGTGTATTTAAAACACATGCGCTTTTTTAGTACTATTACATAAATCTCATTCTTGTTTCATGTATGACTGACAGATATGCATCACATTAAGTTAATTAGTTTCATGTCAAAACTGCGTAGTATTTATATGCAATTAAAATAAATCCTTATTATGGGATTATATATATCTTTTGAAATATTTTTTTTTTTTGAGTGTTTAATATAAGGTCAAGATATAATTATAATGCAAGTCAGTTTTAAAGGCACTCTCTGGTGTTATTTACAGAAGTATTTACACAGTTCTCTGCAATACTTGATTCTGATTGGTTAATTGTAGCATTTTGTCAAATATTTTATATTAATGAGGCACTAAAAAGTGTATTACTGACTATTGTCTAATTTCCACTAGGTGTGCTAGTTTCACATCTCTCATACATCACTCAGTCCCTTCCTTCTCACATAATAACAAATAATTGAAACTCAAATCAGCTTATTTATTTGATAAGCAGCTTTGTAATAATGTACAGTCAGCCGGTCAAAATGGCAAAACAAGCCCACTTCAGGGTTATACAAACCCTAGATTTTCACAAAATCATTATGTACTGACTATTAAAACAACTACTGTTGTTTTCCTATGAAACACAAAAGAAGAATTGTTAAACGTCATAAAAACACCATAAACATATGTCTGGAACATTACAATTCTGAAGCCATATGATATCTTTGTGCTACAAACAAACCAAAATTTTACATCCAGATTACAAATTGACACATTTATAGAGCTTGATAGACATGGTCACTATAAACTGTCACTGTATGTCATTGTATGGAGAATAATAATAATAAAAATCCCCAGTGATCAACATGAGGGTTGTTCAGTCAACTACAGAATTATTTTACAGTCAACTATTCCTTTCACTGCTCTGAATCTGGCTAATTGATTCATTTATTTACCCGTCTGCAGATGCTTCAGTAAATATATCAGACACAGCAGCCCAACGGGTTAACTGTTCAGCCCACTGGCACCACAGACCCTGGAGATACTTCTGAGTCACAGACTACAACACAACTAATCATAATTCAACAAATGGATGACACAAACAACACTGAGACAACCACTTCACAATCTACCTGGCTGCCCCAGACATCTAAACTGACAACGCCCGAACTGAAAATCTCTGTCGACTCTAGTGAAACATTTCCAGCAGAAGAAAACAGCAAAGCCACGGGTACAAGATTAAATAGATCCTTAGACTGCCATAACTGAAGACCAAAATTTACCTGCACAGTTTTTATAGCTGTGCTGGATTAGTCTATCAAATCTATTGATACCAAGGTAGATAGGAAGCAAAATATTAAGCTAGGTCTACGGCTGTCACAAATAAAGTGAAATTAATAAAAAGTGTCGATTATGGCATTATACAACAGGTTTGCACACATTGCATCTGATTTCTTTTTATGCACGTTTAGTAGCGTTGAGCTTTATAACATGCGTATAATATAATCACATGCGTTTCTGTTGAGCCTATGAACGCAATGACTAATCAGAGGCGCTTTGTCACCGCGGAGAACGCCGGAGTTGTTCAGTGTGCGCGGCGCTCACTGACTAAATTGTGAATCTGCATTCGAGAATTCTCTCATCATGATAAACAACAACATGTAGAAAAGGTTTTCCAGTGAATTTAACGGGAGTTTTATCAAAAGTTAACTCTCATTAGACGGAAGTCATGGACCGCGGCAGTGTTGGGGAAAGTTACTTTTAAAAGTAATTACAATATTGCGTTACTCCATAAAAAAGTAACTAATTACGTTACTTAGTTACTTTTTATGGAAAGTAATGCGTTATGTTACTTTTGCGTTACTTTTTCAATCTGGACAGGGCATGCTTGTTTGTTTTTAAAATAAAAAAGTTCTATTTTTGGCAAATATAAAAGCCTTTTCACACCAAAAGTGAAATGAATAAGCCTCAGGCTGAAGGGAAAGTAAATTTACGTCCGTACAGTAGAATGCAGAAGAAGAAATTTCAACACACTTCAGCAATAAACAAAGACACACAAATGTTTGTCTAGAGTAATTTGTGCTTATTAGTACGGTTGAACTGGATCATCGAAGGTCAGAAGCAAAGACATTGGTTAATAGAATGGGATTAAATACATAAAGGATATTTGTGTTGTTTAACATTTAATTATTGCAGGTTTGCGTCATATTCTGAGTTGCATTATTGCATTATATATTGCATTATTTTTATTCATTTTGAGGAATACTGAATGTTTTTTTTTTGTGAGTGAGATGAATTCATGCATATTCATATTTATTTTAGAACTACAGTAACATCTTCTGATTTCTCTCAACATGGGGACAGGAGAGCTGTCAATCAATAAATTGGGAAAAAAAGTAACTTGCGTTACTTATTTGAAAAAGTAACTCAGATATTCTCTTGTAAATTAAAAAGTAATGCCTTACTTTATTAGTTACTTGAAAAAAATAATCTGATTATGTAACTTGCGTTACTTGTAATACATTACCCCCAACACTGCGCGTCAGTGTTTACTCATTGTCTTTATAGCCTATAATTTATTACCAGTTTGAATAACCGTTTTGTTTTTCATGCTACTGAAATAACACATGTGAAGTCTTGATTTTCTAATTTGTAAAAAGAAATAAACAAATTCATAAACGGTTCTCAGCTTTTTCGACAATGATAATCATTATTAGTTAATGCCATGTCAGATACAGCTTCTGTTCCAAGTGTAAAGATGGCTTTTGTTGATGTTGAGAAAACATTGCCCCTTAATTTTTGCCCCCTATTGTAAACCTATATATTTGTTGATTTATACATTTATGTGGTTGGTTTGTCTCTGTCTTGTACAGATCTGGGAGACAGAGGAGGACAAGATGTGACAACAAATCCGGGGCTGGTTGCAGTGCTGTGTATTTTCTGCATTGTGGTGGCTGTAGTTGTTGTGGTTGTGATAGTGAAGGCTGTTCGCTCCAGGAGGCCACAGTTTGATAGGCTTGATGATGTACCAATGGTGAGTCTTAAATTTACAGTAATGGTTCTGCACTGTAATCATAATTATAGGCCAAGCACCAAAGTATTTGTTCTTCTGGCTGTGAGTTTTTGGCAACCCATAGAACTCATATATATATATATATATATATATATATATAAACTAGGGCTGCACGATTAATCGCATGCGATATTTAACGCGTATCTTGTCAGAAAGCCGGTTCTGTAATCAGCGGTAAATCTCCATCACCTGCGGGCTTTCACATTGAGCAGCATTAACT